CGCCCGGTCGCTCAGGCCGCATCAGCTCCGACAGGTTACCCAGCAGCCAACGTGTCGGAGGACCTGCCCGAGAAGGCCGCCAGCTCCCGTGAGCTACCCAGCACACACGGCTTCCGGTGATCTGCGTGAGGAGGACCTGCCCGAGAAGGTTATTAGCTCCCGTGAGCTACTCGGCAGACACGGCTTCCAGTGATCTGCGTAAGCAGGACCTGCAACGCTAAGATACATTCATAAGGTGACCAAACATGTTAGTAGAGAAGACTTCTTGCAAGGATTTGAACTGTAGGTCGTGCAGTTGGTTAACATAAGATCTAGATTCACAAAAAGGCGGCAACATTTTTGAGAGGAATCGAAAAGGGCAAACCAAACTGCGAGGATATTTTGATCCGACACAGTTGGCACGTTTATCAACCGATTTCGACGCAACTATCACATATCGATAGCTTATGATTCAGAAATTCGTATGTCTGCAGACATTGTTCGATTCCCAAATTCATAGATAAATTGAGGAGGCAGAAACAGTGAAGTAGCGAGAAATTCTCAAAACAGGTATTGGTTTAGTCAAGGCAAGGCCAAGTAAGTAGTAGATGCACCCTTATACTGCTACCCGCTCTAAATGAATTGTAGCGCTTTCAGTGCGAGTGTGGACAGGTGTCATAGGTGTATCCTTATTTCTAAAGGGAAACAGAGACACTTCAATCGAGTACGGTCTGCTGAAGCGCTCATCGCTTTAATTTCATGATCGGTCGATGTCTTGGCGCTGACGCTAAATTTAACTGCAAATCCCTCCCAAATTATATCTGCCCTTGAACCTTCTTTGCAGATGACACGAGCCCCAAATTTGACAATACGCGTACAAAAAAAGTTCAAAAAATGTTGACAGCTTTCAACAACCTGATTAAAAAAACTCCGGACAAAATAGCAATGAGCCAGACGGGCGGAGGCACTCAGCCCTCTTAGAAAGAAAGGGTAAAGTACTGCCTCGATTTTGGAAAAAACCTTAAGTTCTTGGTCTTTTTTACATGTGAGACGGCATTGAGTGCACACCCTTAAACAAAGTATCAATCAAGCATTGCCTTAAGCCCGTACCCCTTGGCATATTGACGTTTATCAGCCGATCTTAACTGAACCGACGCGGGTCAATAGATCATGATTTTGAGAATGATATTCTGAGGCAAAATTTTTCGATTGTAAATCATTGGCGCATTTAGCAAATGCAAAACGGGAAATAGCGAAATTTTCGAAACAGGTCCTTGTCCGGGTGTATGCGGACCAAATGGGGTACTCCTTAATTCTGTTAGCAGAAAAATAGGTACAATTCAAAATTTTTCTTTCGCTTGGTGAAACAGTACGCTGATCTAATAATACGCATGGTTCGCGACCACCATACTGTTATATGCAATAAATGCAGTGTGACACCCGATATGGCAATCATGGCATGGTGAGTTCGAACTCGTGGTGGGGCCGAGGCTTGTTGCCGCGATCGTCAGCTGACGCCACACCAGGACGTCAGCTGACGCCACACCCAGGCCGTCAGTGGACCTCACACCGGGCTGTTAGCTGACCCCACACTAGGCTGTCAGCTGACCTCATAGCGGTCAGATGACGTCACACCAGGCCGTCAGCTGACGCCACACTAGACCGTGAGCTGACGCCACAGCGGGCCGTCATCTGACACCACACCAGGCCGTCAGCTGACGCCACACTAGACCGTGAGCTGACGCCACAGCGGGCCGTCATCTGACACCACACCAGGCCTTCAGCTGACACCACACCAGGCCTTCAGCTGACGCCACACCAGGCCTTCAGCTGACGCCACACTTGGCCGTCAGCTGACCTCACAGAGGGCTGTCAGCCGACACCACAGCGGGCCGTTAGCTGATGCCACGGCGGACCGTCAGCTGACCTCACAGCAGGCCGTCAGCTGACGCCACACCAGGCCGTCAGCTGATGTCACAGCGGGACG